TGGACTGGCACGAAGAGGAGTGGGTGAGTCTGTGCTGCCCGCTGCCCGTCTTCCTGCTGCTCGGCTAGGGGAAATACTGTGAAGGCCGTGGCCAGTCTCCTCCACTCTCCGTGCCTCAGGGGTGGCTCCTTGGTGAGCAGGCTCCTGGTTCCCTTCCCACATGGCTCCTGGGCCACCTGATGTGGGAGGGGGCTGTTTTCACGTCTGTGTTCATATGCGAGCAGGACTGCAGGACAGCATGGCCAGCTCCAGACCTGGCTAACTGGGAGGCGAGATCTCCCCCCGGGCCCAGGCCCTGTGAGGCATCTCCATCCTGTGTCTGCCTGGTTTCCTGAGGCCAGCGAGGGTTCTCCTGTGTGCTCAGGGCTCTCCCAAGAGCCCTCTGGGCTGTCTGTACTTTTGGAGAAGGGGGAGCCCAGGAGCTAGGGCAGCTGTGTGAGGACTTTGGAGCAGCCAACCCTGAGGTTACATGGCACGATTGCTTCTCACAGAGCAACCCAGAAGGCAGGGCCTGTGTGTCTCGATAGGGTTACAAATGGTACAACGCGTTTTTGTCATTCGGCTGTGGCTGCTGCCTAGAGGCCTCACTCTGTGAAGCACTGTGTTACTGAGCACTGCACAGTGGTCCTGAGCTCTGGCACCCTGTGGCCTCTGCCAGTCTCTGCAGATCACGCCCAGCTCCCCCCACCTCCCCTTCCCCCACCCCGAATGACCAGTGGTTTCCGCTCCCTTCCATCAGAAAGCAACCCCGTGCCCTCTGTGTGCAGTGGTTGTGGTGGGTGTGAGGAAGGGAGAGGGCCCAGAGCTCCTTGGGCCATGGAAGCACCGAGAAGCCCCCATCCTCTATGGCTTACCAGCAGATGGTGACCACAAATACTGGTCTTTGCAAAGCAGATGTGAATGGGGAGTGGGAAGTCATCTTGCTCTAAACCTGCGGTGTTTTCCGAGCATGGTGGTGGGGGTAGGGCTCAGCGGAGGGTGGTCTGGTCTGTGTTCTGTTCTGTTTTCCACTGGGAAAGCTGACCCAAACGGGCCCTTTGATTGGAAGGAGAAAGTGTGGCTGAACGTCGACAAGAGCCTGGAGTGCATCATCCAGCGCGTGGACAAGCTGCTGCAGAAGGAGCGGCTGCACGGCGAGGGCTGCGAGGATGTCTTCCCCTGCGCAGGCAGCTGCACCAGCAAGAAAGGTAACCGCAACAGCCACGCCTACTGGATCAGACCGGAAGACCCCTTCTGTGATGCCCCCTCCTCGCCATGCCCCTCCACCGTGCCCTCTGCTGCATGCCATCCTCATCCGACCACACGTGCGTATGCATCCATGGCTCCCCATGCGCTGAGCTCCACCTCGTGCTGCATCACTTCTGTTCATCTGCGTCTTTGTCTCTGTGTGCCCTGCCCCCATGCAGACTGCAGGGAGGGCTTCAGGCTGAGCGGGGGTGTCTGAGCTTACAGAGCAGAGGCTCCGGCCTTCTCTCCATGCATCTGGAGCCCATGCGGGATCTGCATCTGCACCAGAGGGCAGACTCACAGCCCTCCTGGGTCACCCTGTTGTGGCAGTAAGGGCTTGGCTCCTGGGCTTTTCAGGTTTGTAGACTAATCTGAGAACCCAAAGGAGGCTGGGATGCAGATGCCTTTCTGATGCGATCATATGTTGCATCAGGAACTGATGGGATGAAGGCAAAGGTGAGTCGTGTGGAGACACAGCCGGACAAGGGCCGTCAGCAGGCCCAGCAGACTTGTGTACAGGCTGGTGCCAGTGGCTGGGCATGCTCTTCCAGCAGAGCCATGCTGCATTGGGCTTGGTAAGTTAGATACTAGAACTCCATTCCTGGGCCTCTGGAGGCCGAGTGAGGTTTCTCCGTTCGGCACCACCCTCCAGGACTGTAGACAGTAGGTTGTTGGCCTGAAGTAGCACGCTTCAGAAACAGTCTTCTCTCTGCAGAGACACAGAGCACAGTGCCCTGCCTGTAGCCTGAAAGCGGGGTACCGTGCTTCCTAAGTCAGTGTGCTCTGAGAGGTCCCTGCGGCCCAGGTCTCCCCTGCCCTTCCTGGTAAGAGCTGGAAAGGGTTATAGGCCAGGCAGCTGAGACCAGGCTATAGACACCACTCTGCCTCCTCTTTCTTCTTTGGGAGCTTTAAACTGTAGTGAGGGCCAGAGGTGCCAGACGTAGGCTTCATAGGATGAGAGCTTTTACATTCCGAACTGGGTGATTTTTATTCAAGGCGGAATCACGGTCCTTTGTCAGAGCCCCTTGATGAGTACTTCTGTTTGTAAGAGGCCCTTTATCTCTGCGGTCTGCCTGCAGTCTGTCCAGGGCTCTGTCACTCGAGTCTGTGTTCCAATAGCATTCACGTCATCCACTTCTCCATCCTTAGGGGGTTATAGTTTAGCTTCTCCAACCCTGTGATTGAGTCACAGAAATACTTTGTCCCTGTTTGTGGTTTTGTTTTTTTCTTTAATGTGTATTGTGTTTGTTTTAAAAATGTACCAACTGGTCCTTATTTATTTCTCTTTAATAGTTTCTTGTTTATAATTTTAAAGTTTTTCTGAAGATATAAAATGAGTAATGTGTTGGATTTTTTTTAAATGCAAGAGTTTCTTTAATCAGCTGTTGTTTTTATATACATAAACTTAAGTGTCCTCTTTTCTGAGGCAAATCTTACATTGTTTAAACACAGGCAACTTTAAATTTAGTTTGAAAGTTACTGAGGACTGTTTCTTAGGGTCATTATAACTGAATGTGCCATAAAAACGTCTGTTGGAATAATAGGGATACGAAGCTTATGCTGAGAGAACCTAACTGCTGATTGGTACCAGACATGCTTGAAACCATGCGCCACTCAGCTAACTGTGGGTGGCCCCTGACTTAGACGTCCTTAGCATAGCCAGGAAGCTGTTCCCACCTCGCTGTGATCGGGAGCATCAGAAGAGCCAGACCGTGGGGCAGATTGTCCAGGTTCAGAGCTTGCCTCTGCCGTGACTTTTCATACGTTCCAAGTCACTGGGGCAGTACTTTTGACCAGTGAGCTTATTGGTCCTCTGAGGACTCCGCTGTACTGCTTTGAAAGGCAGCATCCCTTTCATTCCAGTTCTCGACCCTGTCCCGAGTCCTTAGCACTCGTCAGTCACCGAGGAGCTGTCCTGACTCCTAGCTCACTCCCCCGGAGAATTAATCAGAGCCCTGCCTGGCAGATGGGTCACCTAAGACAGGGTTCTGGGAGGGGACCCACTGACCAAGTCCCTGCCAGCTAAAATGACAGGGGCTCCTCTGAAGCGTCTCTCCTCCCGGTTTCCCCACGGTGCCCACACCCCTCCTGCACCCCCACCTGCCCAGGCACACTGCCTTTGCACACCAGGACTCGGGGCTCCCTTCCCTGTCTCCTGATACCCAGAGACCAGGTTTTCCTTCACCTGGGGTCTCTGGATGCCCCCCAGGTCCATGTACCCACGGCGTATGTGCTGAAATTTCCATGTGCATGGAGAGGAGGTCCATCATGATCATCACAGTTCAGGGGACTCTGGGCTCTGAGACGAATTACAAACTGGTCCAGGAGTGTGGACAAGAGCCCTTCCCTTGGATTGAGAATGAATTTAATTGAGCAAAGTGGCTTCAATCCCCGATGCCTTCACGGGGCCAGTCCCAAATCAGCTGTTCGGGATCAGAACAGAAGCTCATAGAACAGGCTCCCAGACCTTGCTGTCATTCCTAAACTGGAAATCCCAGAGAAGGGCTTACAGGGAGGCGGAACCTGCGCTTCCCAGGGCAGAGATCATCCTGATTGTGCGGACTCAAGTTTAAGAGCCACTTCACGCCCCTGGGCGCCTCCGTCTTTGTTGGCTGGCTGGTCTCAGGACATTGGAGTTCAGACGAACGAGTCCAACTCCTCAACTTAAAGAGGCCTTAATATTTTCTATCCCCTTTGCCCGTGGAAGTCATTCCCAGGATGAGTAGAGAGCAGAGAGGAAGGACCCCTCACCACTCCCTTCTGGACAGCACAGGTGGTAAAAGTCTCTGAAGCTGGTTCGGGCTGTTCCTGGTTCAGTATTCCAAAGACATTTCTTGAACCTAAAAGTTTAGATGCAATATCAACTTATGCTCCCACGGTCTCTTTTCAGATTTGCGTTCTCTCAGAGGGCAGTTTCCTAGGTCCCGCAGAGTTTTTAAAGGGAAAGGTGACATTGCAATGCGTAGGTCCCGGTGTGACTCTAGGTAAAATGGTATCAAAATTTGTGTTCTCTGATGCCAGAGAGACATTCTAATTGGAGACTTGGCCCAAATCACCAAATTCTTTGTATTCGGCTTAAATTTTGAAGATGGGCTTCACACCCGCTTCTTGGTGTGCTGGTTTCATTACTGTTGTCGCCATGGTGGGCCCCAGCCGTGGCTCTTGAGCCCTGGCCCTCAGGAGTCAGGGCGGCGGGCTCTGACTTGGGAGCCCCCCTCTGCTGGTTAGGCTCTCGCCCAGTAAGCGTGCTTCCAGGTGCCCTGGGCCAGCATGGGGCTCCGCCACTACAATGTGATTCGCTTTTTCCCAGCACGATCACATTGTAACATGGGAGTTGCTCGTCCCAAAGAGCCTTGGATGTGGAAGTCCTAGCAATATGAATGTTTGTGCTGGCGGATCTGGTGCTGTCACCACCGAGACCGCCCGGCTGCTCCGAGCAGCCAGAGTGCTGGGGAAGAGGCAACAGGCACCAGGCCGTTTCTCTGGTTTAGCTGCCTTCCGACAAGCTGTGGACTCAGCTGCTCGGAGACTCTCGCTCGTGTTTAACTGTGTGCTGCTCCTTAATCATCCGTGTTGCCCTCCATTTCTGTGCAGATGGCAGCCCCCCTCCTGAAGAGTCCAGTCCAGGTACGTGTTTCCATTCAAGGCTCCAGCCGATGCCTCTTTAACACGAAGGTCAGAGATGACCCTTTGTTTCGAGTGGGAAAGTCTCTCGGGACCTCCTTCCCTGGAGTCACATGGAAGTTTTCATAGGTTTGGTGAGGGAACAGTGGGTCACTTAGGCCCAGCGGATTGTGGGCTGGGCTGGACATGTTTTCTTTTCTTTCTTTCTTTATTTCTTTCTTTCTTTTTTCTTTTAACTTTTACATTCTAAAAGCTTTTCAGATGGTTAATGTTGATGAGTAGATGGGGCTTCCTGAAGTGGGTGAGCTGACTTAGAGGGTGCACATTCGCAAGGGGCTCTTCCCGTGTGTTCATTCGAGCCCGCACGCGTTACTCTGAGGACACCGTCAGGTAGTGTGGGTCCACCCAAGCCATGCGGCAGCCTCGCTTCCAAGTCTGCATGTGGCTCTGACAGGCCTCCGCTGGAGTTAGTGCGAGAAGTGGACTCTTCCTGCCTCGTTTGCATGGAGAAACCAGCATTGATAGTTCTAGTTCAGAGGTTGGCGAACCGCCGCTCTTGGCCAAACCCTGTCTACACAAACCAGTCAGGCCCACCTGTTCATGCACTGCCCGGGGCTTCTGTCATTTGGCAGTCCCAGAGTTGAGCTAGTTTGACAGAGACCCTGTGGCCTGCAAAGCCTGAAATATTAACTGTCTAGGCCTTTCCGGAAAAAGAATGCTGACCCCTGATCTAGTTTACGTTCAGTTTTCTGGATATGGCTTACAGTTTTCCCAGCAAGAGAATGAGCTTCCTAAATGGCTCGCTTGCTTGTTTTCTTTTGCTTTTCCTCCTTCCCAGCCCCGCTTTATATTTTTATTTTTTGCCATAGGGCATGTGTTCTCACTAGAGGGGGTAGTAAGAAATCATCCCAGGAGGCTGGCCATACTACAGTCCCTTCTCCTTTCTCCTCTCGGGATTTTGGGCATGCACACACATGTGCCTGGCGAGTTTTTCAAGTCACCAGGTTGGTACTCAAACTATGCAGTCAGCCATGTGGGATCCAGCTGCCTTAACCACCATGCCACTGACTGGCCCTGCTTGTTTTATTAAACTCTAAAAACTAGTCATGTGATCAGTCTAATGACTGCCTACTTCTTTTTTTTGTTTGTTTGTTTGTTTGTTTTTGAGAGGTTTTCGCTATAGGGCGCGTGCACTCGCCAGATAGACAGAGAAAGAAATCACCCCCCAGCGGGGATGGTGACGCTGCAGTCCCATCTCCTCCATTCTCCTCTCGGGATCTTGGGCACGCACACACACGCGCCTGGCGTGAGTTTTAAGCCACTGGGTCAGGGACGCGAACTGCGGTCGACTACGTGGGAGTCCAGCGACATAGCCATTACGCCAACTGCTGGTTCCCATGACTGCCTACTTCTGATTGGATATAAATATGAGATAGTAGGACCCTTGCTTTATACCCACAGTGCAGCAAGCTGGTGATGTGAGGTTCCCGGGCTGCCCCACCAGTTGGGAACGCTGCCTCCTCACTCAGCGTAAGAGCCTGCTCACTGTGGCGGCTCTTCGTGTGACCCGAGGACCCCATCGCCTCTCCTCAGCCTTGTTGTCTGTCAGCAGATTTCTTGTCCTCTTCAGCTTACCTCCACAGCAGGCCAGTGCTACAGGCTTAGCCAGTAGGTCTGGAGCCTCAGTGATGGGGAAGCCCAGGGCCATACCCCGCCCCCTAGAAGGTCAGGGTTCTCAACTCTGGGCTTCCCGAAGTGTGTAGAACCTTAGGAAGTCCAGTGGGTTCCCAGGCAGCATCCAGGCAATGCACTTCTCTTGTTTAATATGGGCTATTTCATTTCTAGATGTGCTGGTGGCTTTTCCACAGTCGATGCTAAGTGGACTTAACTGGCACCCTGCTAGGAGATCCTTTGGCTCCTCCTGCATAACTCTACTTAATCTGGGTTCACAGACATATACACACACACTCTTCATATACACACACACGCTTTCTCTCTACCCCCTTCTCTTCCTCCTTCCCTGCACTACTAATGAAAAAAGAAATGCAGGCTATGGATTTGAAAGAGCCCTTGGAAATGATCTGAAATAGTGTGGCTTTAGCTAACCGTGTTACCCAAAAGTGGGTCAGCCACGTCACTGAAGACACCCTTAGTTGAACTGATTTTTTTTTCATAGCAAGGCTTTTTCAACAACAGTAGCAGAGTATGAACTCTTCCACTCCAGCATCCCAGATGCCTTTACTTGACGAGAAATAATGTGACTGCCCATGAATTGCATTTTGTTGGTAAACATTATGGCTCATTTCTCCTACTGAAGTGGTGTACCCTCTCCTCAGCAGACACTGTCCAACACTGGCAGAGACAGCATGGAGTTCAGAGCCCATCTGACTCTACAGACGTCAGCCTCTCCCAGCCCGTTTTCTTCCCTGTATCGTAAACCTGTCTATGAAGCAGATGAGGGAATGGCTACAAGGTGAAGTACTGGCCAGTGTTGCCTAAGTGGAGGTCCATGCTCTTGACCTTGAGCCACCCAGACAGCTGAGCCCGTCTCCAGGCAGGCCATTGCCTCTCCTCTGGAATTATCTTCCATGTGCTTTTTAGCCACTCTTCCTATAATGCAAATTTTTTTCTTTTGTTTCTCCTCGTGAAACAAAGCAGTCATTCTTGTATGAATTTCATTCAAAGATAAATGAGCAACGGGAAAAAGTTGTGTGAAGAGGCTTGCTTGGTCAAATAAGGCCATTTATATAAGGAGTCTTCAAAAAGTTTATGGAAAATGCATTTATGAAAAAGCTATGCATGGATTTCAATTTTTTTTTTTTTTACATCAAGATAAACTTACACTTTAATTCTGTTTTTCCACAGAGCTTTGGACATTCCCTCATGTATTTTGATGATTTTCAGGTTAAAATGACCATGAGCATATTAATTTTCCATGTATATAAATGATAAGCAGAAAAGCACAGTAGAATTGATGACATTTGTTCCAAGAGCATTTATTTTTAGTGGAGAACAGTTTTTTTTTTTGGGGGGGGGAAGGGTGCACATGCTAGGCAGAAAGACAGAGAGAGACAGAGAGACAAAAAGTGAGAAATCACCCCCCAGGGGGGATGGCCATGCCACAATCCCTTCTCCTCCATTCTCCTCTTGGGATCCTCGGCACGCCCACACATGTGCCTGGCGTGAGTTTAAGCCACCGGGTCCAGGACTTGAACCGCGGTCGACCACATGGGAGACCAGCCACACAGCCATTACACCAACAGCTGGTCCCAGTGGAGAACAGTCTTAATGACTGCTTGCCTTTCTCTAAATCACACGGCAAGTACAGCCGAACTGTCTTTGGCTTTTTTGATAGACAAAACACGCTTTCAGCCGAGTTCTTCCAGGGAACAAAACCACGATCTGAGAATTTTAGAGGAAGGATGAGACCTGGGCCGCGCCTCAGGCTGCTTTCCCGTTTTACCTAGAAGGGCCTAGAAGGGTGTGGCTGGGGCCACTGGGCCTGACTCATACTTTCCATGCCTACTGTTCTTTGTCACTATGATTTATTTGCTAAAACCTCTCTGCTCTAGATTTTCTAAATTTAGACCCGCTTTTTTCCATTACAGACATAAACTCCTGTCCACGTAGACTCTCTCCATATACAGTTAGATCGTTTCCAGCTTCCGAGCGGCTCCATGTGCTTAGAAGTCCACCCTCACCACACTGAGCACGGGGACCGACCGTGTGGTTTGGGTCGTCCTCTGTTTCTCTGCGAACTGCTAGCTATGCCGTTGGGAAGAGCCGAGCTCCTTCTCCCTGTCTTTTAGGTTCTGTCTGTCTTAGACAGAGGCCACCCTCTGGCCACCGCCCTGCTCCCGTCAGCCCACAGCCTTCCCCAAGTGCAGTGACAGGTCTGGGGTCTCCCTTGGCTCACACCCTCGTGCTTCGTGGGCGAGCGCTGCCCGGGCCTCGCTCCACTGCCTCTCACCATGTTTGGTGTGGCGGGCCCACAAAGTGGTGATGACTAAATGCCTATTTCTGGGTTCGGTGACCTATTAAAAATATAACTGATGAGGGCATGTCTTCTGTGTTTGGTGTAGCGGGCCCACAAAGTGGTGATGACCAAATGCCTTTTTCTGGGTTCGGTGACCTGTTAAAAATATAACTGATGAGGGCATGTCTTCTCTCTTAAATATCTTCTACATAGGAAAGAAAAAAACCACAAAGGCAAAGCTACCCTTCACGCTGTTTTTCTCCCTCAAGGTTTTATTTTTTAAAAGTTGTTTTGGTGCACAAAGATTCCTCATATTTCTAAAAGAAAACCCAGCTAGAAATAGAGAATCGGGGGTGGGGGAGAAAGTGAGCACACAGAGGGGACGCAGAGCCGAGAACGGCCCTTCAGGCGTGGAAGGGGGCACACAGGCTGCCTCGGGCAGAACCAGCCCTTTGCTCCAGAGGACGGTGGTCTCTGCCTCCCTTCCTGGGCCTGAGAAGTGAGATACCAGACGACTTTCCTGAGCATCCTTCTGTCCCTGGGTGGAGGGGCCATGGAGCTGTGGGAGGAGATTGGCCGCCGCAGACAGAATCACTTAGTGGCCTTGCCATGACCGGCCGAAGCTATAGTCTCCCTCTGAAGCTGTGATCTGGAGTACTTGCCCATGGTGTCCGCAGTAGCTCCAGAAGACCAGGCAGGCATCAGTGGGTGGGAGTAGGGCTGAGGCCTGCGGTTACTGGAAAGACTCAGGCTACAGGGTTAGTGACCCAGTGGTGCCAGGCAGAACTTGATGTCAGCCCTGGACCGGGGCCTGGACTGGTTAGAAGATGCAAAGGAACAATGGGGGGGGTGTGCAGTACCATGGTTAGGGGACGGGTGACTTGTTAAATCTCTAGAACCTAATTCTGAAATATTTCCTTTAACTCTCATGACTCCTTCGCGTGGCCCAGGGGAATGGAGCGAGGCCCTCTATCCGCTGCTGACCACCCTCACGGACTGCGTGGCCATGATGAGTGACAAAGCCAAGAAAGCAATGGTCTTCCTGCTCATGCAGGATAGCGCTCCCACCATCGCCACCTACCTGAGCCTGCAGTACCGCCGCGACGTGGTCTTCTGCCAGACCGTAAGCTGGGAGTCCCCGAGGGAGGCCAGGGCCCCCTGCTTCCCCCCTCACCCACTCCTGTCCCCTGTGCAAAACCACAGGTGGCTGTGTTTTCTCCTGCCCGTTGCTTTTATTGTATTTATTTATTTATTTTAACTTGCTGGAGGGCACGTGCACTCACCAGAGACAGACAGGGAAAATGAGAGAGCATCCCCACAGGGATAGTCGAAATGCAACCCCTTCTCCTCCATTTCTCTCCTTTCGGCATCTTGGGCATGCACACACGTGGACCTGGCATGTTTTTCTCAAGCTGCCAGGTTCAGGACTAGAACTGTATGGTCAGCCATGTGGGATCCAGCCTCTTTAACCACCAAACCAAGGGCTGGCCCATGCCTGTTGCTTTTACAGTCACATAGCAGAGAAGTCTAGATTCTGACCCAGGGAGGTTGAAATGTCTTCCCTCCATCAAGAAGGATTTGTTCTTCCCTGAAGAAAGGGTGCTGACAGCATCTGCTGGTCCCGCACCAGGGAGAGCGGGTTGTGGCCACTCGGACCTCTCCGCTGCCCTTTTCTGACAAAGGAGTTTAGCGGGGGCAGCGCAGCATTGGCCCCGAGCGCGCTCAGTTCTGTTCACGAACAGCAGGTGCCGCGGTTCTGCGACTCACCGCACAACTCCATCTTCATTATTTCTGCTGCCTTCACAGCAGTGAAGTGTTGGGACGAATGTCACAAGTGTAGTAGAAGTCAGTCACCACATTAGTGAAGCGAATGGTGTTATAGGTGGGACTGCTCTCTGCAGTTTCCCTCCCGCCCCAGCAAGGCCCGTTTCATCCCACCGAAAATCTCCCACTGAGGAAACTTTGAATGGTGCTGCTCTCTGGCGTTTCTGTTCTTTGTTGTCACAGCTGTTTCCAGCCAGAGCTGGCATAGATCTGTGAGTAGACAGACCCTTTCACTTTGGGGAATTGATTCTGGGCTTCCAGAAAATCCCAGCCCAAGAATAACCCCGGCAGGTCAGGTCAGAAGCTGAGCCAGAACCACACCCGTCTTTGGGAGCCACGGGAGCTGTAAGCCCAGAGCGTTCACATCCTCCCTGTGGCCTCTGCTCCCTGTGGCCTGGAGCCAGGTGGCTGCCCGCTCCCCAGGCTCCCAGCCCTGAAGCCCCATGGAGGTGTTGCTGAAGCCCTTCTGAGCAATGGAGGCACAGGGACCCGGGCCCGGGCTGCACACCGTGCCTGCTGCTCGGTGAACAAGTGTCTGTCCCCACAAGCACCTCACGCGGAGCCCCCTCGCCCCCAGCTCACTGCTCTCATCTGCGGCTTCATCATCAAGCTGAGGAACTGCCTGCACGACGACGGCTTCCTGCGGCAGCTCTACACCATCGGGCTGCTGGCGCAGTTCGAGAGCCTGCTCAGCACCTACGGTGAGGCGGCGGCCTGCCCCTCGATGGGGTCAGGAGCAGCACTTCCCCTGCCCCTTCCCTCCTTCCTTGGGAGGCTTTGTTGTCACACAGGCAACCTGTGCCGGCTGAGTAGATCCAGACGTCACCAGAGCACACAGCGAGGCCGAGGCCGAGGGGAGGTCCCCCGCCGTTACACGGCTCGGCTCTGCTGGCGTTTGTTATGCAACTCGATTTTCCCTCAGTCTGGATGACAATGATCTAGCCAGTGACTTCCTACAGCACGCTTGGGTTGTTTCTGAATCGTTCCTATTAAACCAGGGCTGGGGGACCCCTGGGCACAAGGCACTCGCGAGCCCGTTCCTGCAGCCACCAACTTCCTAGGTTGGTTGACCCAGCGAGTTGCTGGGTCAAAGGGCAGGAATGTCTCAGAATATGATAGATATTTTTGAGTTGTTCTGCAAATAGGCTCTCTTCTCCATACCCTTGTTTTCTTTTTATTGACTATTTCTTCTGAGAAGGTGAAAACGGACCTTTCTTTTAGGTTTTTGCCATAGGGCGTACGCACTCACTGGAGAGAGACAGGGAAAGTGTGAAATGACCCACCAGGGTGGTCCGTCCTGTGAGATTTTCAGGATGCCAGGCCCAAGACTCAAACTGCAGTCAGCCAGGTGGGAGTCCAGCACCTTCACCACCATGCCACCTGCTGACCCTGAAAATGGACACTTCTTTAAAAGTATATATATCTTTGCCAGAGATCGTGTGCGCTTGCCAAAGAGAAACAGAGAGAGAGAGAAAGCACCCCTCGCGGGGCGTGTTTTGCTGCAGTCCTTTCTCTCTTTCCTCCTTTCAGGGTTGCGGGCGCATACATGCCTGGTGTGTTTCTCAAGCTGCCAGGTTCAGGACTCACACTGTAGGGTTGGCCATGTGGGATCCAGCCACCTTAACCACCTGGCCATGGAACTAGCCCAGACCAGTTTAAAAAATACTTGGGACTCTTGGAGATGTAGGACACTAAACAGATAGCGAGCCCTGTGTAATGAGAGGATCTAGCCGCACCTACCGTTTTCCTGTCTCTCCCTGTTTTTAAAGAACCAGCTTTGCTTACTGGGTTCCGTCTTTCTGTCTGCCTCCCCACAGTCCTGTGCCCAACGAAGAAGGCGTTGGGAGGATGGTGCCTGTTCCCACTGGCTGCATTTCTAATGTGGCTGTGCGATTTCAGCAGCATTGTTCCCTCATGGAGAACAGCCCAGGGGAAGGGTCTCTGAGAGCACCATGCCACCGTAGGCTTCATCTGCACCTCGCTCCCCGGGCCCACAGGGAGCCTGGCAGGACCCCCTCTGCTTCAGCCACCTCACAACCCCCTCCGCCTGACAGCCCCTCCCCTCCCTTGCGTGCAGGTGAGGAGCTGGCGATGCTGGAGGACATGAGCCTTGGGATCATGGACTTGAGGAATGTGACCTTCAAAGTCACCCAGGCCTCATCTAGCGCATCAACTGACATGCTGCCCGTCATCACAGGAAATCGGTAGGAACACATGTTTCAAATTCTCCGCACCAGAGCAGTGGTTTCCCTTTATGTTTGTCCCATGGGGTACATCCTCCTCCTCCTTTTTTTTTTTTTAAGGTTATTTATTTATTTATGTAAAGAGATATTTTTGCTATAGGGTGCATGTGCTCGCTGGAGAGACGGAGAAACAGAAAGCGAGCAGTCACCTCCCCACCTCCCAGGGGAGATGCCACAATCCCTTCTTCTCCATTCTCCTCCCAGGATCTTGGGCACACACACACATATGCACTGGCGTGATTTTCAAGCCATGGGGTCTGGGACTTGAACCACAGACGGCCATGTGGGAGTCCAGCGATGTAACTGCTACGCCATCTGCTGGTCCCTTACGTTCGTTTATTTATTTATGTATTTACTTCATGACAGGGAGAAAGGGAGCAGGACAGACAGGGCCCTCCGATGGAGTCTTGCCACACCGTGATCCTCCCTCAGCCCCCTGGGCCACGTGTGGGCCACACCCAGCATGTTCAGGTTGACCTTGGAGCTGAACCTGGGCCTCCCATGTGGCTGCAGTGTCTCATGGTGACACCCTTCCACTTGTGCCGCCACAGCTGGGCAGCTCTTCTTTATTTTTTCACTCTGTATAGGGCGCGTGCACTCACCAGAGGGAGACAGAGAGAAAGAGAGAGAGCGAGGAAGTGAGAAATCACTCTCGGGGGCAGGGCCGTGCCATCCGTGGTCCCTTCTGCTCCGTTCTCTTCTCAGAGTTGGGGCACACGCACACACACTGCTGTAATTTTCAAGCTGCTGGATCTGGGACTTGAACTCACTTGGCTATGTGGGCTCTAGCTGCCTTAATGTCCATGCCACCTGCTGGCCCTGAGTTGCTTTTCTATTACACTTGGTCAGGAACACTGCTCACAGCCACCTACGTTCATTTCATCCCTCCTTGAAAGTCCGCGAGCTGTGGTCTGGGCATCACTGAGCTGGAGGGCCAGTGCAGGCTGCCACCTGGTGTGCACTGTCCCTCCCGGTCCCCTAGGGTCCCTGGCCTCACCCTGCCTTCCTCTCTGCTCTCCTCCAGCGATGGCTTTAACGTGCGGATCCCTCTGCCAGGCCCGCTGTTCGACGCCCTGCCCCGGGAGATCCAGAGCGGCATGCTGCTGCGCGTGCAGCCCGTGCTCTTCAACGTGGGCATCAACGAGCAGCAGACGCTGGCCGAGAGGTGCGTCCGGCCTCGCAGGCTGCGGGGCCCGGGGATGACGTAGAAGGTGCACCCTGCCAGGCGGCGTGCTGTACGGACGTCGTCACCATGCCTTTGGCCAGCACTCTTTCAGTGTGGCTCTGTTCCTGGCTTCCTTTGAGGCTGTGGACACAAAGATGTCTCAGAGACTCGGCGGTGGGGGAGAGAGCAGTGGACACAGTGAAAAGATCAGTGCAGGGAGTTAGGGGCTCCCAGGAAGGCCCAGCGAGCACCAAGAGGGTCTGCGAGGGCTTCCCAGAGGGAGTGGACGTTGTCGTGCTTTTTTTTTTTTGGTTTTCATTTATTTTAATTGCTAGAAGTATGTGCATTCACCAGGGAGAGAGAGAGGAAGTCTCCCTCTGCCACAATCTCTCTCCTCCATCTTCTCCATCCTGTTGGATTTGGGGCGTACACACATACCCAGCATGTTTTCTTTAGCCACCACGACCAGGATTTGAACTGCCGTCGGCCATGTGGGTTCAGGCTCCCTTAACCACTAGACTATAGGGCCAGCTATTAAAATTTACTTTCTTTGAGAGAGAGAGAAAGAGACAGGCACCCTCAAGAGGGACTTCATGCTGCGATCCATCTCCAGCCAGGATCATGGGTACACCTGTGGGTGCCCCCAGCATGTAGAGGTAGACCGGGGTACAGACTTAACGCGGTGCGGCAGCGTTCCCTCTGCCTGCGTCATTGCCATCGCGGTGGGCCCAAAGTAGTGTTTTGGTTTTGGTTTCGTTTTTAGTTTCACTATAGGGCAAGTGCGTTCGCCAGAGAGAGAAAGGAGAGTGAGAAGCCACTCCCCTCCGGGGGGTTGCCACACTGCAATCCCTTCTCCATCATTCTTTCAGAATTTTGGATGCACACACACTTGTTTTTTAAGCCACTGTGTCCGGGACTCAAACTGCAGAGTTGACCATGTGGGATCTAGTTGCCTTAACCACCACACCACCAGTGGCCAGCCAGGACAGCTTTGAACAGCTAGATGAGGTAAAGGAGAAACTGGTTGTCTGAAGCCTCAGACTCCGTAAAGGCCTGGCGGGACCCAGGGGCACCCAGTTTCAGGCAGGGATCAGCAGTGGTGAGAGTGGAGAGGCCCCATGTGCCAGGCTGAGTCCTGCCTTGAAAACCCCCTCCGGGACCACTTGCTGCACAGCAGGGAAGAGCAAGGTGTCCCCACGTGTATGTGTGTCTGCACACGTGTGTGTGGAGTGAAAGTGGTCAGCTGGGTGTGCATAGCCTATAATGGCCTTCTACAAGTCAGTGAAAGTCGTTTCTGTGATACCGTATCCGTTCATGCTGTCAAGAAAAGCTGGTCCCAGGATGGTGCATCATACTCGCTGAGCCCGCGAACCCAGTGGTTAGTGCCCATGGGCTCCTCGGTACGGGGCCCCCAATTAGGACACAGAGTGGGTGCTGGCAAGCATTGCAGAGTGCCTCAGAGGGCCGGAGCATGCCCTGCGCCTGTGCTGTGAACACGATTCAGAGGGCAGGACACAGTCAGATGGACATGGTGGTTGGTTGTTTTGCTGACTGTGTGCCAAAAGGACGTGAGGGGTCAAGTGTCAGAAGGAGGTTGCTAGAAAGAGTCCAGGCCCCAGCAGCGACCTGGCTCAGGGCAGAAGTGTGTAGGGGAGGGACAGGCAGGAGAAACATGAAGAAAAGGGCTTGGTCTCCAGTTGGGCTGAGAACGTGAAGTGAATAGACAGACCCAGACTTTGAGACCGGTGAGTGAGCGGTCAGGGCCAATGAACTCCAACCCAGAAAAGGGTCGATTTAGGGGCAGATGGTGAGCTGGGCTTGGGCTGAGAGTGCAGCCCGGGAAGCAGAACCCACCATGGTGAAAGCAGAGAGGAGCCCACTTGAAGGGAGTGGGCAGGTCACGGGAGGAGAATGACGCACCCTCTACCTGGACCCCATGACTGTCAGAGCAGCTTCCGGAAGGGGCTGAGCCAGGGCTGGATGCAGCGAGCAGAGGGACTGGAGGGGAGGAGGAGGGCTGGTGACTCCTGGCTCTGGGCTTTGTTCGTCTGGTGAGCTGAGGAGAGATCGACTGCAGGCTCTCGGCTTTGTTCGTCTGGTGAGCTGAGGAGAGATTACAGAGCAGGCACCCACAGCCTAGGGTCAGGATGACCCCAAGGGAGTAGGTGCCACAGTGGGCACCAGGGGCAGAGCAGAGGGCTGAGACCCACAGAATGGGGGTGGTGTCATAAGACCATAAAGAGGCTTGTAGTGCAGGAGGCTACTCAGCAGGGAAGTGGAGACCTGCCAGGAACCCAGGACTTGCACTAGAGTCTGTCTTTATTTTTTAATGTTTTATTTTACTTTCTATGTTTTTCTATGCAAAAATGCATCATGACTTTTCTGATAATCCAATATTTATTATTATTATCTTTTTAAAATTTGCTATAGGACACATGTGCTCACCAGAGAGAGACAAAAGGAAAGAGATTGAGAAAGAAAAAGAGTGTGAAGGCAAGCTGCCAGGTTCAGGACTCAAAAAGCGGTTGGCCACATGGGAGTCCAGTGCCTTAACCACCGTGCCACCTAAGTCTGCAGTTTTATCGACTGCTTTGCCTTTCCTTGTAGGTGGCATCCCCAGCCTCCCTGCTTAGGCATCAGCACACACTCCCTTGCAGCATGCAGTGTGCCCCCAGGGGCAGCACGTCCAGGCTCCAGGGCACAGCCGTGTCCTCACAGGGCCACGCCCCACTGCGTCCCCCTCCTAAGTACCCCTGAGATGGAGGACACTGGGAGCCTGAGCTGAGTGGCCAGGACAGGTGACGGTGTGCTGCACAAGGCAGGCCATCTGGTCTCTGGGCTGCAGACTCCGATAATTCCCTAGGCACTTATCCAGTTCCCGCCAACGAGATGTGTTTGAAACACTTACCGACAGCATGGAGACCACTTCATGCGTGGGGAGGACAGTGCGCGGTCGGTGTGGGAGAAAACCCTGTGGTTAGCTCCCGAGCAGCTCTGTGCATGTTAGAGGAGTGACACCAGCAACTAACGGCGGCCCCTTGCAACCCCCAAGGTTCGGCGATACGTCCTTACAAGAGGTTATCAATGTGGAGAGTCTGGTGCGGTTAAACTCCTACTTTGAGCAGTTTAAGGAAGTTCTGCCTGAGGACTGTAAGTATTTCCGCACCCACGGCGACCTTCTCCTGCTGGTCTTTCCGTCCCCTGGGATGTCTGAGCTCAGGCTGTTGCTTACCGACCTTCTGGACTCTGCCTGCTTGTCCGGGCTGTGTGTGTACATGCGCATGCATGTGTGTCCCCTGCTTCCTGCCCCCTGCCCTAGGTCCCCCGCCCCCACCCGCCACCGTACGGCAGCCCGTTTATCCAAGTCCCACCCAGAGAAACTTCCTTCCTCTCTAACCTGCCTGTGCGGGGCCTTCCCACTTGCTGTGGCAGTCACTGCTGCTCCCCAACGGGTCAGCAGTGTGCAACGTGCACCTGCTGGCAGACATGGGGGCCACAAGGGA